CAAAGTATGGAAAGGCCTAGAAAGGTGCTGCTAAGAGTTGTATAAGCTCTCAAGAGGAAGAAGAGGAGACAGGTGGGTGGTGAAGACAGCTGGAGCAGTGGCATTGGTATCCACCCCAGCATTCTGCTAGAGAAGAGGTAGAACAACTGGAGCAGGAGGATATTTCAAAACCCAATTAAAAACATGGTTGTTCACTCAGGCCTTCCTTCCAGCCAATTTTTGATTTTCTTCTTCTTATTTTTCCTATTTTTTAGTTTATTGTAGTTGTTTTGTATTATCCATGTATTTGTTGTGTTTTATTGTTTAATTTTATATTGGAAGCCACCTAGAGTGGTCCATCAGTCCAGATAGGTGGGGTATAAATCAAATAAATTAAATAAAATAAATATTTACTGTTCCATGACATCAGTAGCTTGGCAGATTTGTGGCCAACTGTTTACAGAATTTCCGGGCCGGAATAGGGTCCTTGGGGCCAAGGCACTGGCCCAATTCCTTGCCCCAAGGATTGCTCTCAGAGCCAGGCATTTTTTGAGGCAGATGGCTGAAAAGAGGCTGAGCGGGAGAGATGTCATGCCTCCTAGACTCCTTTTCTTCAGTGTTGTGTGAAGGGTAACACCAGCCTCTGCCATCTCCTTCAAAGACACTGCTTGCTTCCTCTTCCTCTGCCAAATGGCCTCCAAGCACCGTTAACAAGCAACTCTTAACTGGCACGGCAGTGGAAAGCGGAGGCAATGCTGCTGCTAGCTGTGGGGCTCTACCCCATGAGAGAAATGCCTCACAGGAGGCTAGGCCTTGTGACTAATAGACAGTTCCAGTGCTTATGGAATTGCATCTTCTAATCTCAGGCGATTTGTAGGGCATAGTTTGGCCCTTATTTCAGCACTTGCAGCCGGGAAGCCATCTCCACCATACCAGAGAAAACACACTAATTTATAGGATGTGGGGAAGACCACCTGGCAGATGGGACTCAAAGCTGTCTCGGTTGCAGATCCTCTGCTTTTGTTGCTTCAGGCAGCTCCCTCAATCTGTTTAACGGTAGGGCCAGCAGCCTAGAGTATCAGACTGGGTCTGAGAAACAGACCTGTGTTCAGATCTCCACTCAGCCAATAAGACTTCTTCTTCTTCTTCTTCTTCTTCTTCTTCTTCTTCTTCTTCTTCTTCATTTATTTATTTATTTACTTACTTACTTACTTACTTTCTTACTTACTTACTTACTTACTTACTTACTTACTTACTTATTTATATCCCGCTCATCTGATCAAATCGACCATAAATGGGTTATGGGTTATTATATAAGACTTGCTGTTATCACTGTCTTGCAGCTAAGTTATACCAAATAATTGTTGTGGGAATGAAACGATGCCGTGGGGAGAAGCGGCGTGGATATACCCTTAAGTTCCGTGGACGAAGGGGGGGGGATGTGAAAACATGATGTATACATTTCTAAAAAGAAGGGTGGGAAGACGGCCTTGAGACAGGAGTATGAAAACAACTGGACTAAACTTCTCATAGAAAAAAAAAGCCTATTAGCCATGAGCTGGCTGGATACACTGGGTGCCTCCAATGAGAAGAGCCAGCCTGCACTGCCTTGGGTAAGCTGTACCCACCTGAAGAAAATAGTAAACCACTACTGACTACTCTCTACCTAGAAAACCTTGGAAAATATTGCCATAAGACACGGTGCACACTCAGTGTAAACTGAAAAAAAAAATTAAAGAATGAATAAAAAACTGTTGATAAAGAAACAGTAAAGGTTAAGACAATGGCCAGGGACTATGCAAGGATTCCATCAATGCCAGCTGTGTATGGTTTTTGTCTCATTTTAGAAACATACATTTTTATGTAAAGTGGGGAGATGAATCTCCCTTCTCAGGAAAGTTTTGAATACTGTAACTGCCTTTGTTTAGCATCCTTTGAATACACTTTTGAATCCAATCCACCCAGCCAAATGCTTCAGCCCTCCGCCCCCCAAAATTGCAAAATGCTAGAAATAGTGATTTATTTCTTTTTAAAAGTATCCTGCAGTATTCTCAAAAGGCAAGAGTATCATCTTGGAAAGTGCAAAGTGTCACTGTTCTGATGATGTCTGGATCCAGGCCATGATTTCCAGGTCTACTTAAGTGTAGTAACTCACCTTCATAACTTCTGGGCTTTGGGGTCAGAGTATTCCAATCGTCTCTCAGTTTAGAGAACATCAGATTGAACATTACCAAGTAGCGTGCAGTTCAGCCACTCTGCCTTGGAAGAACAGCTGCTTTAACATGAGGGACACAGCTCAACCACGACCCCATTATCTCACCCCATTTGGCTCTGGTAGCCACAACCAGACAATGCCATGAGCAATTATGGCTGATGGCCATCTGTGAAGCAAATGGGCCCAATAAGACTAACACATCTTTAAGAAGTTAAATCTGCCTAATGGGCATCAAAACAGGTCAAAAACATTAAGAGGAAGACATTTCAAAAGTGCAGACAATCTCACCAGTTTTTCCAAGGACTTTGAATTAGTCCATTGTGGATGATATAAAAACACTGCTTGCACCTGCCACCCTAACATAAAAATACGAGTGGCTATATAGCATGCTGAACAGATAATTGCTTTCTGTTCAGAACATTTGCCTTTCTCCCTCTCAGTTACAATGTTCCATGGTAAAACACAGAGAGCCATATAAATGAGTACATCCAATTTAGGTCAGGATATAAAGCAATCTAAAACTGAACAGGTGGTTAAGGATTCTTATTCTCAAAAAATTACACTTTTCTACTGCCTTAAAAAAATAAGGGTGCAGAACAATTATTTGAGTGCATATTGCATATTGGAATTTTCCTTTATTTCTAAACTTGTATGCAGTACTTCCTTTCACTATGCAGTTGAACATTACTGTGGTTTATTGTCTTGAAAGAAGGATCTCCAGAATGATCCAATAATAGCAGTTATTAGAAAATATGTAAAAATATTAACACTCCCATTATGATACATGCAAATCCAAAACTCCCCTTCAGTTCCCTCAAATTTCATAAGTTAAGCAGGTACATTGCAATAATGTTTATATGCATTCCTAAGTCTACTGTCTAAAAACCAAAATGTCATGCAATAATACCTCTCTGTAGATGGAGTCACAAGACACCTATTAGGATGTGCTCTGCCAGGGAACAGGTCATATTTTTATGTCATTATATTCTACTTTCCTTTTTTGGAGCATTCTAAAAAATTAAAAAAAACTGATTAGCATAGACTTGCCTTCTCTGGGAAGGATCCAACAGCTGCTAGGGCCTGTGCAAATACTTTTCTCTTGTATGTTTTGTGCTAGTTTGCTCTTAAATTACACAACACTAGGAGTAGGAAGATCAGCACAGTAACACTGACTTGCACACTCTGCATTTTCTCTCCTGCATCTAGCACTAGGCAACTTCATGAAAGGGGATGACATGCGGGGTTGTAAGCAGGTTTCACTATCTTTTTGGGCTCATCACCCTGAGGACTCCAGAGAATAAACAGTGTCTGTTTGCACCTCTGACTACCAATTGCCTGAAATGACTGAAAGCACTTTTGCTTTTCATCCTGTCTGGAAACAAATAAAACTTGCTTCCAAATCCCAATCAGGAACTGGCAGTTTCCTCTGCACACAACATCCAATATACATGTGGAAGTTTTGAGATATGTGTAGGTTGGCCAAGTGGCAGAAGCTTCAAGAATCACTGTGGGTTAAACCACAGAAGCCTCTGTGCTGCAAGGTCTGAAGACCAGCAGTCGTAAGATCGAATCCACGCGAGTCGCTTGTCCCAGCTCCTGCCAAACTAGCAGTTTGAAAGCATGCAAATGCAAGTAGATAAATAGGTACCACATGACCACGGAAACTGTCTACAGACAAAACGATGGCTCTATGGCTTGGAAACGGGGATGAGCACCGTGCCCTAGAGTCGGACATGACTGGACTAAATGTCAAGGGGAACCTTCCCTTTTACCTTTAAGTAGTCATGCACTAGTTAATGGGGCACTAAAACATATACTTGGCTTTGAAGAGCTGCTGGAGGAAATTTCCAGATGTTGTAAATGGACGTTGATCCATGACCCAGTGTTAGCAGTGAATCTTGTATTTTTTCCCACAAGGCTGCCTCAGAGAGAGAGAGACCCCCTCTGCTGGCCTAGTTGGAACCAACTACTATTCAGTTATCTCAGAATTGTGTCCTGTAATTCCATTATATAATTTAATTATATAAACTGCAAAGCCAGCATCTCTGATGTGTTCTCCTGCTTCTTCTTCCTTTTTAGTATCACGTCTCTTAGCTACTGTTTTTTCATTGTAAACTGTCTTGTGCTGGGTGGCAGAAAGGTGATACACATATACAGCAAATACACACATTAAAATCAAAATGCTAAAATATATGGTGACAAAGTCCATAGAAATATAACGCACAAAGAAATATAACGCCCCTGCTAGTAATGCTGAAAATATAATCCTAAAAATTCTTCACATACGAAAATTGGAAAAAAAAACACCTGTCTCCAACCAATGAATTATCACCCAAATGCCACCAAATCTGCAAACGGCAGAACTTTTAAATGCAAATTGTTCTAAATCAGGAAATATCTGTAGGCATTGTCTGTTACACACTGAGATCCATGACTCAGTATGCAACAGACATCTGCAAACGTTTCTTAATTTACTGCAATTCTCTTGCACAGGTTATACTGTTTGTGAAACTGCAACAAGATTTCAGCCATGCCTTTAAAAAGTGCTAATGTCCAAGCATTATCACAGTATTAATGTAGCAGACAATACACTGAATTCAGCATATTGTCACACAGAGTTTATCTAAAGCTACAAGTGTGAAGAGTCTGAGGAAGAAATTGATTTAAGGAATGAGTACCAGCAACAGAGAACGACTACTGGAATGTGACAATATCAGTTTGATCATCTGGATTTCGTACTAGGAGCAAATAAAAACACACCAATAATATTTTGGGCAATCAGATTACAAAGAGAAGGGAAGGGAAATATACTTCATCTTTTTTTATTAGAATTAGCTTTTAAGGCCTTAATTTGCTATACATTTCTCGCATCGTTACATTTTAATTCAGCAGAGAGGTAACTTGATCAGCTCATTAGTCCTGAAATGCATTAAACAATAAACCTTTCTAACACTTCATATAAAAATAACTGAACTGTTACATGAAACATCAGTTAAGACCTAATGTACTGCAGATAGTGTAGATCATCACTTCTCAAAAGAATTAACAAAAGTGCTTCCAACTTTGCTACCTTGGATATACCTCTTGTTAGCAAGAGTAACTAAGGGCAACTTCACATGTAATAATCTCCTTAAAGTGGATATTACTTCTGTGTATAAAACTGCAAATACATGTCTATATGGCAATATATTTATTACTTGTTACATTTATATTCTGCCTTCCGTCTGAACTCATGGTAGCATTAATGGCTCCCCATTTTATCCTCACAACCCTGTGAGGTAGGTCAGACAGAAGATGACTCACTCAAAGTGACCAGTGAATTCCATGGCTCAGTGAGTCTAAAACCAGATCTTCTCAGTCCCAGTCCATTACCCTAATGGTTATACTACACTGTCTTCCATACCTGTACATAACAATTAATATATGGGTGTTTCTATAGTGAATTAATATCTGCCAGGGGGAATGCCATGGAAAAATAAATCCCATACCGCTCCCTTACATGAATTAGAGCCATTCTACACAGTATGAAGTAGAAGAGCTGTGGGCTGTATAACATAAAACCATACATGTGTGGAAGGAAGCTATTTTTAACGCTCTTCTACTTTAAAAGTTCCCTATCCATATGACATGTTATCAGCATGGGGAAGTTACACAAAGTCTCTCTTCCAGGTGTGCTACATTTGGGTAGACCTACACATGATCTGAAATGGTAGAACAGTCTAGAATTCTGCCACTTCTTTTTGTGTAATGTGTGGAATGGCTATTCGTCTTGAAAGACACTTCTGGGATTAGATCCGGCTCATACAAGCTTTTTTCTTTGTACAAATCAGCAGTTTTTGGCACTGACTTTCTCTTCAAGTTTACAGATATAAAATACATCTTTGATCATTATACTGTGGGCAGATTCAAGATAATAATCTTCCTTCATTTCTCACTATTTCCTGCCAAGGAAGTTTAAGACACTACTATTATAAGTTCTAATATTTATGTCAAGTGTCAAAATTGCCATCCAAAACCAGCTTTTGACCCACCAATCAAAATGCAACTATTCCTTTCTCATAGCAGCACAACAGAGCAAAGCTGGTCAACAGGAGGTTTTTATTGCTGGTGAACCAAAAATAAAAATAAAAAAATAAAAAGTTGTCCTGTATCCAACAAAGACAACACAAGGATAATTAACTGTCACGGGTTTCTAAATTTTTCTAATTCAACTTCAGTAAAGTATATACAGAGACACACATCTTGTATTACTCATCAATGACCAGTTCATTCACTGGTTTCAGACAGAAGATAATTATCATGTGGAAGAACGAAGAAAAATTTGTGCATAAAAACTGAAGGATATATTTTGTGGAAAGGTTGGAAATCTGGTTTCTCACCCTTGGAGTGACAAAATGTGGCCATTTCAAGAGCTCAGCCACATATTATTCTGCCATGAAATATCATGCATGCTATCAGGTGCAGGGACATTCATACCCTATGGTGACTATAATATTACACAGGAATTATATGCCTATATCTGTTGGCACCTGCCTATGCAATCATCCCACTCCTTTTTACACTGTCAGGATCACAGGAGTCAGGCATTATCTTTTGCATGACAAAATAGTGTTGCACATGCAGTGGAGATAAAAATGGAGGCCCAGTACCCCACTGCATGCATGGGTATTTCTAAATTTAAAAACCAGACCTCAGAGATAGGATACTAGTTGTGAACATAGCATAAGATTATTACTGTAATTATTTATTACACTTCTCAGATGCCCTTGAAAAGAGACTCTGGGCATCTTATATACCCAATTTATTATGGCAACTCATAAACTCATATAGTTTCATGGCTTGTATGGTCATTAAGTTAGCCAGCACCATTAGGAAAACAAAAACACTGCAAAAATGCACAGGTTTACCAACCCCCATTAAAACACACAGTAGATCACTGGTATCTAAAGTTACTCAAGCAAATAAAAGAAATGACCATACTTTTTATTTCCCTGGCGATCGGATGTAAACTGGGATCTACAGCTTCATTTGTAAAAGATTCAATATGATCTCAGGAGTTATCAGATAAAAATGCTCAACTGAATGTCCTCTATGAACAAGAGTAATTCTCACAAAGTTATGGAAGAGAAAAAACTGGGAGGAAAAACCTTTAGATTAAGTCCATACTAGAATCTGGAAGGCTCCTCCTTAACTATAAAATACCTACCAATTTTTGGTCCTGTATTGACCTTTAAGTTTCACATTCAGGTCCTTGACCCATTCACACTAGAGAAAGCTACCACCCTTTCTAAATGTTCCTCATAATGCAATCACAATCAAGTTCATTTATTGATTCTTCCTCTATAAGCAAGGGAAAGAGGAATGTTTGACATTTTCTATCTTAAATGAGTTTTGTGTGTAACATATTGCAATGCCATATATTAAAACTATTTCCACTAGCTAACAATTTGCAGTCACTAGTTGTTCCTAAGGCAAATGTTCAAGAGATACAATTAACCCTTTATGAAACCTAGAAAAGTACCGTGCACCTTAACCATGGAGAACAATGTTTGTATACTTCATTTAAGTCTGTTAGACTCATTTATCCAGTTTCTAGGCATCAGTTTAGTAAGAAATCAGGTGCTTGATAGCCAAAAAGATTAAAATCTCCTTCAAACCGGGCATAAAGACGTCGTATGTCTCTCTTGCTTACTCCTGCAAAATAGCGCTCCACCTTGGTTTTGTTATATACTGTTATACCAGGCGGAATTGTGGGATATGACACCAAATGGTCTATTCCTGCTTCCTTCAGGATATATGGTGCATCCTCCTCCAGTGTTTCATGATGTCCAATAATACTGTACGTGATTTCACAAGGGGCACAAAGTTCCACGTAGGTCACCCAATGAATGATGTGGTCCCCAAATTGTATATCTAGCCATCGATGATTTGGATCACCCAAGTAGCGTACAAAGTCTTCAAACTGCAGCCCCCTGGTTTCGGTGCGATTCTTTCTATATTTTCGAATGATGCTAGGAGCAATTTCATGCCTATACCATGGTTCAAATCGAGGGTTGTGGACAAACTTATCCTTAAATGCAGAGATGAGCCTCTCAAACGGATCTCTTACGATGAAGAATTTGAAGTATAATCTCAGCCTAAATGGAAAAGAAAAATAGAGAGGTTGTATGTGGTAGTTTCAAAAATGCCATCTATTGAGAATTCATAATAACGATATAAAACAAGTGAGGGGGGCCTCATGTATGTACATTCTGCAATTGACATATGCAGTATCACATGGTATGTGTAAGTGAGGTATTACTGTGGAAAGGGTTGTATGCATGGGAAATTTCTTTATCATCTTTTCATAGCACAATGAACTTTTCAATTAAATATGTTGACACATTTTGGCTCTAAGTCACAAAACCTACTGTGGTTCAGCACTTTAGCGCGGTCTGGCAGATCAGGCCCACAGGTGTTGCACAGGCACCCTGGATTTCGCACCCCTCCTCCTCCCACAGGTGCCCACTCAGAGGAGAAGGTTGGGCAAGGAAGCCCGCAGCACTGTTCCTCATGGGACACCAGTGGGAGGAAGCAGGGCATGGAATCTGAGGTGCCCGTGCAACATCTGTGGGCCCAATCCGTCAAACCACACCAAAGCACCAAAGTGCACTATCTCTCTATCACGAAGTGATAAGAGATCAAGAGATAAACATGAACCAGCTGTAGCCTCCAACCAAAATTACAAATGTTTGGAACATCTGTGGTTTAGAAATTCTCTGATTACCTTGTACATGGAAAAAAAATACATAACCATATTTGCTATGGAACTGTATTTCCATACATGAAATGTATTTAGGATTTATTTATTTATTTCCCCCCTCTTACCTTCTGTATCCCATACCCTAACCCAAGTTATTAAAACAATGAAATAAAATAAAAAGGATTTATTTATTTATTTATTTTATTTTCAAGCTTTTTTTTTACTACACTCATCAGCCAATAAGGCTGCCAGAGTCTCTGATTAAATTTTTAAAAGAAAAAAAAAATAAAGATCATAGTAAAAAATGCATTAAAAAAAATAGAACATTCAAAGAGGTGAGGTTAATTCAGCTGTATCAAATCTTCTCCCACAATCAGAAGAAATAGAATTATTTTCCCAGTTACTGTACATAAAAGATGATGCTCCCAAAAGCAAGTGCTCCTATCACTACCTCCTCACAGGGTTCTAAAGACTCTTTGGCCAGTTGTGTATGTCAGTATGCAACATATTCAGGACTTTCTTGCCCTCTTATCTTTAGAAAACCTGCTCCAGAGGGTTTCCTGGCCCTCCAGAGCAGTGCTTAAGGGTGCATGGGGGAAACTGAAATAGGGAGGGAAGACTATTGGTACAAGATGGAAGCAAGAGAATCTGGCTCCTAGCCTTTAACAATACCTACAACTATATCATTCATCTTTCCCTATTACTGCCATGATACAGAGTGGAAAGTTGTTCTAAAAACAGGTCTTTATGGCACATTTATCTTATTTATTTATTTTAAATATTTTACTCCAACTAAAAAAGGACCCAAGGTGGTATCTTTCCTCCTTATTCTTAATTATTTTAATTCTGTTGCTCTAATAGTTCCTACTCTATGGTTTAATTCCATCAGTAACATAATAAACTGACACAACATTAGTCAAAGTGAGACAGTTTCAAATCTGTAACTAATCTACAGTCGGTGGGTACGCCTAGGAGATATATGTAAGATGCACAACATCTTTGTTATGCAAAGATCTGTATGTTAATACTTTCAGCATCTAAGTTTGGATAACTTCTAATTAATCACTGTGAAAATCCTGTAGGTGGTTGTGTAATGTTTACATATTGTGCCATAGCTGATTGTGGCTAATTGACAAGGTGCGGGGGCCATTTGGTCACATGCCAGGCTATGTGCCCAACTATGCAACTGAGATTCACCTCATCCATTAGCCACAGCAATTTACACAAATCTTCTGCAAACACCAAAGGATTTCAGCCACCAAGTACAATTCATTGGCTGTTTATCCTAATCGAAAATATTTCTGTCTACTTGATGAGGAATGGTGGGAGTAACAGTAGTTTATATTCATAAGGTAAAGGTAAAGGTAAAGGTTCCCCTTGACAATTTTTGTCCAGTCGTGTTCGACTCTAGGGGGCGGTGCTCATCCCCGTTTCCAAGCCATAGAGCCAGCGTTTGTCCAAAAACAATCTTCCGTGGTCACATGGCCAGTGCGACTTAGACACGGAATGCTGTTACCTTCCCACCGAAGTGGTCCCTATTTATCTACTTGCATTTGCATGCTTTCGAACCGCTAGGTTGGCGGGAGCTGGGACATGCGACGGGAGCTCACTCCGTTGCGTGGATTTGATCTTACGACTGCTTGGTCTTCTGACCCTGCAGCACAGGCTTCTGCGGTTTAGCCCGCAGCGCCACCACGTCCCCCTTTATATTCATAAAGCATATGAAAAATAAAACAATGTACTTTTAAAAGTTTTGCTTTGCTTACTAACTGTTAAGTCAAACAAGATGAATTAGATCCCATCTGGCACAAGGCATCAGAATATGTTTGAGAAACAATCTCAGCACTTTCTGGAAAAAAAAATCGGATTCAGCATTTCCTAGATGACTGACTGTAGGAGCTGGAGCTCCTGGAAGCGTTTCAAATGATAGGTCTTGAAAATGTAACTTCCTGAGCACAATTTGATCTCTTTATTAACCTTATGCATGGTAACTAAAATGAAAAGCCTCTAAGTATTGTGCTAAAATAAAATTATTGTCTATACTAAAGCAACTAATCAAACATTCTACCATCACCCATCCTAAGCTAAAGAGCATCCAGAGCATGAAATCAACCTGGAAATTGAAACTTAATCCTACTTTACAGCTATGTGGTGGGAGTTAACCTTGTAGTTGGTTCCTAAATGACCTGTAGAACCAGGGTATGGGGTGGGGTAAGCTTTTCCCCCCAACCAGATGACTCTGGACAGGACAAACTCAGCTTGATGCTCAGGGTAAAAGCCAGCAAATTAATTAACAGACTTATCTGTTAATTAATTTTCCTCAAACACTCCCACTTATTTCAAGGTTCTTAACCATCCTTCTCTCGCAGCATCTCTGGGAGTTTTCTAATACCTCATTTAATTAAATGAACCCATACAAATGTATTTTTGCAAGGGTAAAAGCCAGCAAATTAATTAACAGATTTGACTAATCTGTTAATTAATTTTCCTCCAACACTCCCACTTATTTCAAGGTTCTTAACCATCCTTCTCTCGCAGCATCTCTGGGAGTTTTCTAATACCTCATTTAATTAAATGAACCCATACAAATGTATTTTTGCAAAAATCTTAATTGTCTAATGGGAAGGCATCTAAAATACCACAATTCTAATTATGTGATTAAGTATGATTTTATTTTATTTTTTTAAAGAAAAGAAGTAGAACTTATTTCCTTTGAACCCATTACCTCTTACCGTTTCTGAATTTCAGAGTCACTGAAAGATGATAAGCGTGGGAGGCCATTCTTCTCATGGTCATGCACAACGTTCTCTGGAATGTCCTCTATGGAAGAAAATGCTCCTGAAGAAATAAAACATGACACATTTTAGAAAGGGGTGTTTCAGATTTTCCCATTCTGCCCTAGTGCTTGTGTTCAGTGCCATCAAATCAGAACGACCCTAACAGGGCTTTCAAGGTAAGTGAGATATTTAAGGAGTGGTTTTACCACTTCCACTCTCCAAATGAGTTTCCATGGCCATGTTCCCCAGAGTCCTAGTCTGTCACTCTATCCACTATTATCATGCTGGGAAACTGCCCTGGTAGCTTTCCTATGTTTAACTCTGCTATTCTGAGGAACAACAAATTTCTTTCTTTCATTCATTAATTCTTTCTTTTAATGGAAATAAACATTTCTTTGGATTGTAGCAACATCTCTTCTCTACTTGATTCCATTTGGTAAGAGAAATGTTGTTCACTGGAAGTATAATGGGATTCATTGCAGTCATGATATGCCCACAATACAAGGTGTGCATTTTGTTTTTATTCAGTCTTGTTTTATGGCTCTCAGTCTTTGGGTGAAACACAGCTGCACACATAAGCACTCGTTTGAATAAAGGAGATTTTGGTGCACAATTCTCACAGAAGTAAAAAATACCTCAGAATTCAAAAACGTGTTTTTATCTGAGTTCATGAGGATAAAGGCATAAAAGGCTCAATTTTGTTTTACTCCTTTGAGTTCTGTCCTCTCCTGACTCCTACGGTGTAATTTAAGAATTACAATGTTAACATAATGTTTTACTGTGGTTTTTCTAATGATTTTATGTTCTTGTTGTTTATTATGCTTATCACTATGTGGTTTTATTATTGACAGGAAAGCACACTGGGTAAGGGCACTTATGATGTACAGTCTAAAACAAAAAATAAAATCAGGTCTAGCTGGAATGCTGAAGAATCTTCTGGAGAGGCCCTTCTCTCAGTTCCACCACCTTCCCAACCTCCTTTAGTGATGGCACAAGAGAAGGCCTTCTCAGTGGTTGCTCCCAGGTTTTGGAATGTGCTGCCCCATGAAGCCAGAATGGTTCCCTTCCTCTTATCCTTCTATCATCAGGCAAAGACCTTCCTCTTCAGGCAGGCTTCTGAGCAGTAAGTGCCTCAAGAATGCATTGCTTGTTGACTTACATATTTTTTTTTTAAAAAAATTAATTGTTTTTAATCTTTTTTAATCTTGACATGTTTATTTTTAAAAAATATATTCTAATAGCATTTTTTAAACTATTGATTGCTTTATAGTTTTAGTTGTTGTGAGCTGTCTTGAGCCCTTATAGGGAGAAAGGCAGCATATAAATAACACAAATAAATAATCATGTGCCATCAAGTCAATTCTTACTTATGATGATCCTTTCCAAAGTTTTCCAGGTAGAGAATACATAGAAGTGGTTTATCATTCCCTTCTTCTGAGACTGTGCAGCTTGCCCAAGGCTAGCTACACAGGCTGGCTCTATTCACAGGTGGTACAGTGCGGAATCAAACACCCAACCTCTAGCTTTACAGCGCAATACCTTAACCACTGAGCTATCCGACCAGCCCTCTAAAACAGTGACTGTTATCCTTCAGCAATCCAGAAGTTTGAGACTCCACCCATTAGAATCCATCACACAACTGGCTGAACTAGTTAGGGCTTCTGCAGATTGAAATCCAAAGTATCTGGGAGTTCAAAGGCTGAGAACCACTGCTTGAAAATACTTCTTGTAGGATGCAAAGCTAAGAGATGAGGAAGCTTGAGACAGGCTACATATCTGAAAGGCTCCTGTTGCTGAACTGCCTGGGCTTCTGATATACAAATATACATATGACAATAGAATTTTATTTTAAAACAAATCAGCAGATGAAACTGGCCAAACTGGTGGGTATAGCAATGCACCGGTGAACAAATGAAGACTAGATTATGTAAACTTATTCTGAGACTTTTTTCCAGAATAACCACTGCAGACCTCTGGCTCCACAGCCAGATATCTAAACCACTGATTCAGCCAGTAAGCCAGCAATGAATGAGTGAGTGAGTGAGTGAATGAATCAATGAATGAATGAAAATAATAATAATAAATGACAAGAAATAAAATGCTGGAATAAAAATCAACAACAACATGCCCCAGAAATAATTCATTTTGAAACTTGTCATACCCTCTTCTTATTTCAACAAACACATGCATCAGACTTTAAAAATGAAAAGATACCATTTAAAACAATCAAGACTTTCTTCCACTGAGTATTGCCAACTTTTGGAGTTTGGCAGAAGAGGATCTTGTGCTTGTCACAAACGAATATTCGGTCCAAAACAAACTTTGAAACAGTAGTATGGGTGAGGTTTTTCAGTGATGCATCTTGACAGACGTTCCTGAGTAGCTCAAGCCTTTCCATATGGACCAGAGGCTGGTGTACAAGGTTTTTCGATAGACCCTTTCCTATTGTCTTGGTATAAAATGAGAAGAGAAGGAGGTGGGTCCAGAAGAAAAAAAGCAAACGGAATAATTTTAGTTCATGTGTCATATTTTAAAGGAGCAGGCATATTCAGGAAGATATATTACAATATTTATATCCATACAGAGTTCCCAACTTCTTTCCTATGAAAATAGGAAAATAAATTACAGATCAATGTTGTTTCTCTGACGATAAAACATCAACCATTTTATTCCCTTTCTTTTTTTTCTTTTTTAAAAATATATATACACTTTCAAACAGTCAATTGCTTAAATAATTCTTCTGACAAGGTGCATAATAGCTTCAACTTAAGGATAAAGAAATTTATTACATGAAATACTTCCCTGCCCCATATTCAGACAAATTAAATATTTTATAATTAAATAACAACCACACAACACATACTGAAAATGCAGCACCATCCTAGGCTGTCCTAAATGAATGCTCTTTATGCAAACAAAAAAGGAGACTGCTCTTACTTCAACAATACAAATAAAAATGTATTGCAACAGTCTTCTAAAAGTTTCAAAGACTGTTCTGAAAGCTGAGTTTAGCATTCAAACTGCTGCAGCAAATAATTTCCCATTTAATAGTATCAAAAATTTTCAAATAAGTTCTAAAAGGTGCTACAGAAAATGATAGCTACAACTCAGTTATAATGTGTTCAACAGGATTTTTGTCAACTATACTTTTATGGAATTCAAGCCTTAATAATGTAAAACAATGCATCGTTACAGCACTGAATCTATAAAAATGATCGTAAGTCAAACTATTAAATGTGACAAGCCAGAGCAAGAAGTTAGTTCTCTAATTCTGCCCTTCTGCTTTTTTCTTTGAAAGTTCATTTTAAACTGTAAAAAAGGATTCATGCTCAATGGTAACTGAAGCCAGGAAATGTTAACTGGTGGACCATAACTCTTAGAATTCTTTAGCTTGCTCAGCCACCGTGGAAATTCCGGAAGCTTTACCAACCCAACCCACCCCTAAAATGACCCTTCCAGCTGGCAACTCTTAATATTAGTGACTTGTCTGATCTCATGCAAAGTCCTATTGATGGCATGTCCCACACCTACATGAAATGTGGTCATGCCACTGACGCAAATGCAATTGTCTACCTGAGTTTCCCTGATGATGGCCCTGTAATGCATGCACCCTCTGCCCTCAGATTAGGAACTGGTTTACTAAACAGACACCATACTCCCTCATTAGCCTATTCTGTTTCCACAAAAACTCACATTTAAATATAACAGTCTTTAAAATATTTTTGTCTTTTTTGTTTGTTCTTTTATTTTTATTTTGTCTTTATCTATAATCCTATATACACAAAAAGGAATCAGAAGTAATGTGTTAAAACTAACAGTAATATCCACAAGTAACTGATCTGCTTTCCAGCACAATTGAAAGCACTTATTATAACCAGAAAGCAAAGTGCAGCTCAGATCCAGCTGCATAGAATCATGTTTCCCCCTACAAGCCTAACATGATTTTGAGATGAGAAGAGACCTTTCCCCTCTGTCCCACCAATCTCACAGCCATGTTTGTTGGGCTAGGACAAGACAGGGACCTTCTTAGTGTCTGCTTCAAGGCTACAGACCTCCCTTTTGCTGTCTTCCCACCAGAACGCAAAAATATTTTTATTCATCAGAGTTTGGGCTACTATTGAATAACCAGTGAGAAATGCCCATTTAATGTGCTCTTGTGTGTGTTATACTCCTTTTTTATGCATGTTTTCAACTGTGCAAATTGTGAGTTGTTTCAATGCAATTAGTTTAAGAAAGCTTTTATACTGTAACTTCCTGTGTTTTCATTTTTTAAAAAAATTATTTTGTGAGCTCTTTTACACCCTGCAAAGGAGAAGAATGACTGGAGATAAATTAAATAAAAAAGTAGCAAAGCTCAGATTCTGATTTCAGAACTTTAATAAAAATGATTCAACATTTTAGTTTTTGGCATAAAGACTAATATTTACTGAATTCTGAAAGAATGTTTGGGTTTGTTTTTTGTTAGGTTTGTTTTTTTTACTATTTTTAAAAATCAGAAGTGGGCAATTTGTGCATCTTCTTTGGGTATGGTGGAGAGAAGTTACATCTCCCTGTACAGATATTTCTCAGAGACCACAACTAACAACTTCAACCCCCAGCCACCAAACCCACCTGGTAACAAAGCTCTATTACTGTATATGGTAAAGAAGATTCTTAATAGGGGTAACAGATACTTCCAGAAATGCTAAAAAACTTATAAATAAGGTGTTTCATGTGGAGGACCTGCACACCTCGCTAATAAGCCTACAAGCACTTCTGAAATGATTCTTTGAAAGCAGAGAAGCCACATGTGCCCTGACTCCCATACCCTAACCCTTCAGTAACACTGAATTTGAGTACTGTCTTGACATTTTATATAGCACTACACCATAAAGACTTATAATAGTCCTTCTTCACTGAACACAAAAGAAAAAGCATTTCTGAATATAGGAAAAGCATTACAAGGATACTTGCGATAACAAGAGTCCAGGAGCACTTGCACTCAGTTGTTCATAAACACTCTGAAAAGGAAATATGTGCAGAAATATCCCCTTCAGCATTTTACAGCCTTTATTCTGGGTTAGGAACACATACCTGAAACTCTCCAGGCACCCTTTTCACTTTTGTCATTTGATTTCTTTCTGTTTCAGTTATAGCTGTCAATATTAATGGTTCCTGCTTGGCACCATACACTAGAAACAAAGAAAATAGAGTCACATGCAATGAAAACTAAACACAGAATACTACCAGTCTCCAGGAGAATTTATCACAATGGAGACTATAGTTAACATGGCTCTCAAAACTAAATGCAGACCATTATTTCTGTAGGGGAAGAGGCACAAGCAATACTATACAGTGATAGGACATGTAATAATGGGCTCAAGCTACAGGAAGCCAGATTTAGGCTGAATATAAGGAAAAACGTCTTAACTGCTACAGCAGTGTGGCAATGGAACCATTATATGACCTGGTGAAGATGCAGCATTCGTAGCCTGTCCATTATACAACTATAAAGTGGGAAAGGAAGAGAGGCTGGTTACAAGAGAGAAAACAGCCTAGGAAGGTCTATCCCCTTCCCCTAAATCATAACCGTATCCATTCAGATGGATCCCCAAATTCTCTGTGTAGCACTGGGGTGGGGGAGGGGAGTGGAATTGGGCAGCCATAGAAACGAACAAGAAATTTTGCTTCTACTAATGAAGATGCACTTTCCAACCTACACATAAAATCTTCTATTTACAAATTGCACTTGAAAGAGAAAATTAAAAACAACTCTTTCCTAAATTTACCACCTTGGATATAATTTAAGCCACCCGACATTTCATATATTATTGCAGAGACTAGTGAACAATATTTAAATTATACTCAGCTGGAAAATTAAAGTAATGAGAATATGACTGCAGAAGAATTTATATTTCACTGAACACAACCTAGAGCAGCCGAATGGGAAAATATATATCTTATTCTTCCTTTATTTCCTTATTTGATATGAGAGAAATATAATGAATAAGGACTTTCCACATCACTGTACTGTTTTTTTTTATCCTCTAGGTTTTAACCCAATAAGCAGAATGTACTGGGCTTTGATGAGAGAAAAAGCACAGCCTGGTATTTGAGACACAGAAGGAAAGGCTACATCTCAGATCAAGTAAGTGAAGCAAAGCAAAACTTTCATTTTCCCCCCTTCTATGTCATCATGGAGCAGTACCAACTCCTCATTCTATCCATAGATATCTGCACCCACCATTCTATCAGACTAACATTTAAAAAACGCATTATGCTAAAGAAAAAAATGCGAAAATACTATCATGATGCCAACCTAAACACTAGTTACCATTCCCAGAGACCTGCAGACTTCAAACGCTTGAAAAGGAAGCACTTTAAATCAATATACAAGATGAATAAATATATAATTATATTTGAGAATTCTGACATTTGTACTTTTCCATACCCCCCCCAAAAAAAAACATGACCCATTTTAACATTCAATGATGCATGGGGCAGCTTTACATCTGACCATCCTTGTCACATGCAGAAAGAGAATTTCCTCCCACCATCTGGGACCTTCAACCAAAGAGATCTTATTGCCCAGTGTCAACAAGGACACAAGGGAGAAAAGGAATAATCATTCTGTAGCTCAGCGGTGGGTAAATTGCAGCCCCCAAGGCATTTTTGTGGCCCCTAAAAGCTCTCTTGGATACTCAGTGTAGTGGATAGAGTGATGGACTCGAAACCCTTTCAGCCATGGAAACTCAATGGGAGAGTGGAACTGGTAAAACCACTCCTTAAATATCTCACTTACCTTGAAAACCCTATCAGAGCTGTTATAAGTCGATTCTTGCTGGTATATAACAGAAGTTCTCCAGAGGGGCCCCCCAAGTTAAAAAAATTGCTTTAATTGATTTGATTTTTACAAATAAAAATGTCAACTTTTATAAAAGGATCTAGGAGCAGTGGTGTTCAGCCAGTTACAGTGAATCCTGAGTAAAATGGAAATTTCTAGCTATTTCCACATCTCAAGTAGCCCCCAAGGAGCTTGAATCTGACCTCCAAGTTCTCAGACCCACTTCTAGGGAGTTACTAAGGATTGGTATTCCAACAATTGTGGAGCTAACAAAGCAAATATTTCTTTTTATGAAACACTGCTGCAAGTAATGGACATGCTGCACTGAGCAATCTTTCATACAGAGCAGCCATGACTTGATTTAAAATCAACATACAGAGTGAAAAGGGAAAGGGAAGAAGAAATGGAAAATCAGGAAGGCTCACTTCTTCTAATTCATGTAAATCTATATGCCAGATTCAATGTACCTTAAATTCCTTTATTTTGAAAAAGAAGAAAGGGTTAGTTTTAGAAAAATATGCTTGTCCTTTTTAAAAAAGGAAGAATTGGCTTATTTTTCATAATTAAATATTTATCAGTAAGAAAACTCACTCTTAAAGTCAAAGCATCATCATTCATCAGTTCTTTTTTCAATGCTCTGTACTATTTGTAATAATACAAGCAAAAGCATTTCAAGCGCTCTCTGAACTCAACACTGCCAGTTTTCTTTTTCTAAACAAGCAGTTCAATAACTTGCATCAGTGGGAAGAACAAAACTAGGTCAAACTTACCATCAGGATCTTTGAAGGTCAATGTGATGAACTTGCTAGCAACCATGAACATGAATATTACCCAAAAGCATGCAGCTAACAGCAGCCACCGGTGGTGCATGATGTCAGATATGAGCCATATAACTTCGGTTGTTTCCTGTTTTTCAAAAGCCACAGAAGAGTTAATATGTACTGTGTTCTGTTTTCTGAGAGGTAGATTCTTTTATAACTAATGAAACATCTCCTTTGATTGCAGACTCCGTTGCTAAGAGAATCAGCAGTGGAGCTCTTAAACTGCATAATCTGTAATGTGGTACCTCTATAAAATGTTAACATATTTCAACTTGCCAAAGCAGATGCTTTATCCAACTAGGGTAAAGTCTATCAATGCTAATTCCTGATCACATATACTTTTAGAACAGGGGGCACCGTCCAGATACCCAGTGTCTATATCTCTCTGACCCTTCCCAACATCCTCTTGATTCCTAGGCTGTGCACTTCTGTTTGTTTTTTAAAACTGGTCTCAAGTGGACAATTATGGTCACCAGGATGTATGACTAGACATTGCCCTCCAGGATTAGAATTAGGCCAATGGCAGCATATTTTCTAAAACAAGCAGTGACTGGAAGATTACTTCCAGTTCTGAAAGAAGGCCTTCAGACAGCACAACTGACATGTACTTTCAGTCTGGGGTAATACAGCACATTTAAGTCTTTTCAGGAAGACAGTATTTTCAACATCTGAATTGGAATGTTATAATTAAGGAAAGACAGGAAGAGCTTAAAATTGTCATTCAGTCTGCTAATATATACAACCATCTTATGACTGTAGGCTGGCCTTTTCAATCCATCCTAGAATACACTAGTTTTACTGCTACACCACCACCATTGGTACTGCTGTTTTCAAAAAGTCCATTCATAACAAATCTGCAGACTGTAATAGCTTGCTGTTTAGTCATTAAGTCGTGTCCGACTCTTCGTGACCCCATGGACCAGAGCATGCCAGGCCCTCTTGTCTTCCACTGCCTTCCAGAGTTGGGTCAAATTCATGTTGGCAGCTTTGGTGACACTGTCCAACCATCTCATCCTCTGTCGTCCCCTTCTTCTCTTGCCTTCACACTTTCCCAACATCAGGGTCTTTTCCAGGGAGTCTTCTCTTCTCATGAGATGGCCAAAGTATTGGAGCCTCAGCTTCAGGATCTGTCCTTCCAGTGTAATAGCTTAGTCTTTATTTAACTGTCATGATCCAAGCTCAGGAACAGTGCAACCCTATACTTTACTCAGAACTAAGCTTAACTGAGTTTCATGTGTGAATAGCACTGCAACCTTAATGTATTGCTTTGTGTTTTTTTGGTCCTAAATAAACTACCTGCCTTTTTCTAGTCTCAGAATGATAGAAACACTGTTGCTTATAAAAGCAAGTAGCCATTTTGGACTCAGAAGATTAATGTAGTGAATACAGTTAAAGTAATTTTTCTTCTGATCCACACATTCTTCTAACATTAATTATTAAAATTTCACAGAATTCCTGTCAGGTAGGCCAACTATTGTTCACTTAAGAGAAATCAAGGCGGAGGGGGAGGAGCTGAGGGGAGGGCATCCATTCCATGCTTTTCCATAAAAGTTGTATATGTAGTATCACTGAGGGCTGAATTCCATAGAACGTGTTTGAGAAATTAATTAGTAGAGAATAAATTAGTAAAAGATTAGAAACAGAAGCGAAAGCATTGCAAAGGCCATGTGCCAAGGCTTGCTCTTTGCAGGCAGAAGTAACCCAGGCTTGCCCTGAACTAGCCTCCCCTCAAACAGGGATTGATTGGTTTTCCTGGGCAGCCAGCAAAGCACAGTCCTAAAATGGAGACACAATCAATTCAACAGCAGATACAGTACGCTATCTGAAGTAAATATTGGGGTCGTGAATAGCTTGGCAGAAAACAGCAATTTTGAACACGGACTTGGAAATGATACACCATGCTTGCTGCTCACAAGGGTATTGTTTATCAGGATGGTTTGTGGCTGACGTTATTTGCAAGAACTCAATCGTTTGTATCCTGATAAAAAATATTTACACAGCTGCTATTTCAGATGCCATATCTGAATGGCATATCAAATCTTAATACAGCTATGGCCTGGTAAATCTTGGCACTGCTGGTCCTAAACTGGAGATCGCATGTCCTATACACTGTTCTCTGTACAAGGCAGGTAGAAGGAAGTTGCTATGAAATCTGTAATGTCTGCATCATAGTTTGCCTAGTAAAATTTGCTCTCTAATGACAACACAAAATACGCTTTTGTTTTCAGACTCTGTTGTTAATTTCCAGGAGCCTCTAAAATCCGAATGCTTTATTTTAACAAAAGAGAAAATCACAAAAGCTCTCATGTTTCCCTCTTTTGTTTGACCTTTCCTTCACCTCTTCTCTGACAAATTTCTCAGGAATGGTTTACTCAAATGGCATCATGAGGGCTGCTGTCAACAACCAATCAGAATGTCCAGGAGGTGGGGAGAGGGAATTTTCAGTCATAGAAGGATCTGGATTGGTTGGAACGTACTGTAATGTGACCACATATGAATTAGTTTTCAAGATGCTGCACCAATTTTTGCTGGAACTTTTAGAAATCCCACTTGGGGACATTTGGGGAAGCCATAAACATAAGAGCATCACAGAAGTCTTATCCTGAATTCCTTTTCAGACCTCTAAAATACTCTTGCTGGTTTTAGGTCAGTACCAGATGAAGAGAGAACAAACAGTTGTGTTTCCTACATACCTATAATTCTAACAAAACAAACCATTCACAGTTGTTTTACTAAATATTCTCTGCATTATAAAACATGATTTTATTTGAATTTTTTAAAAAGTCACTGGAATTCTTAGCTTTCAAAGCAACAAATTCTTCTCTCTCCTAATACCATGAAAGTTTAGGGCAATGTTTTCAGCAAGTATGTTTGTAGATTATATATATGTACACTCTTTAAAACATGCAAATATGGGCATGAAGGCACTCTGGTCCAAACACAAACATACATATGTGCAATGCATCCAATATGGACACACTCTGAATTTGACAAATTCAGAGGTCTGGGGATATTGCATTGGTGGTCAAACCATCCCACATGCTGTACTCTAAGGGTGTTTTGCCTTGCAAGCTACAAAAAAAATATATCGTTTATCATTAGCAAAACCATATTCTCTTTAAAACAAGCACCACATTCTCCACACTGTTTATCCAACAGGAGATCAATGTTTCCTGGAGGTCTACTGTATTCCTGAGCTGAGCAAGGAGTTGTACTTGATGGCCTTGTAGGCCCCTTCCAACTTGACTTTTCTATGATTCTATGGCAGTGACAATCTGTGGTTAACAGAGTTGAGAGATGCACCTTCTTTTAACAAGAAAACTACTGCTTTTTGCTAAAGTAAACCCTATCTGCCCAACACCTACATTTGTTGTTTGCAAGGAGGTTCCTTATTATTGCATTTTGCCTGACAGCCCCCCCCCTTTTAATTTCAAATACGAGCAATGCATTTAAAGGTGATTTGTACAATGCACATATTTTACACTGGTTTCATGTTACGATTTCTTCGCTACAGGACCCAATTTTTCAATTCTTCACCAATTCAAGTGAAGAGAGCATAATGTGAAACCAAGGTACAATGTGCCATATTTGTACAAATCTCCATCACTATTTAATTTTTCCAAGCTCATACAGATTTTGAAAACTGAGGCCTACAGTGGAGGAATCTTAGGCTGAAACCCAGTAATTACATATAACTAGAGCAGGCCCATTGAACCAATGGAACTTTATCACCAAATCCCCACTGATCCAAGGCACCTATTCTAGTTGTGAGCTACTACTGGATTTCAACCATAATGCAGATCTGGCATGTTATGTGAAATCAGTTGTGACCAGACCCAACACAGGCTTGTTACCTTTTAAAACATCTTTCCAGTAGTATGTCCAACACCAGCCATTAACCACATTAGACCCAGTGGCTAAAAAAAATGAAAACTTTTAATTACATATGAACATTAGACTGGGAACAAATTTTGACCCTGAGCTTTTCTTCAGCTACAACAACCAATTAAGAGTCATATCCACAAGTTCATTATTTTCCTCCCAAGCTTTAACATTTGCTCATTTCTATATTCCTGCTCTTCATCATAACCCTTATACTTCATTTTTTCTTTCTTTTCTTCCCCAAACCCTCCAGGGTTATATCTCTTTCATTACTTCAGCCCTCTAAGACTCCTCCCCTTCAGGCTCCAGGATAGGTTGACTTCATAGGCCACCTCACCAATCACAGTGCTACCCTGTCAACAAGCGGTTTGGCAAGGGTTCTCTTCACAGCAGTACACAGACATGTGAAGAGCAACAGTGAAAAAGTCTATTCCCAATAACTTTTGACTCATTAGTTTGACCTTTATTGGGAAGAACATCTTCCTCATTTTTCGTCATTCGACTGAATCCCCAGTGTGTCACTACCTTCAGTATAACGGCAGTCTGGAATATTTCAAAACCTGTTTTGTTTACAGAACAATCCTGTAAATGTAAGCCCCAAATTTAATGGAACTTATTTTTAAGAAAGAAAGTATAGGATTTGTGGCAAAAACATCTTGCTTTGATTTGCTAAGAAACTGCAACTATTCATTGATCCTGTCCTTGGAGATCTATTAGAATCCAAGGCACTTCTTATACTAAACGAACTTCTCTAGCAATAAACCTAAAGTTTTAGCCTTCTTTTGGATGAATTATTCAAATTCAACATTTGTAGTCATGGCTTTTTCCTTTCATTTTAACAGTGAGACATGCTCTGACCTTTACAAGGCCATGTGGAAACCTTCTGTGTTTAAACCAAGACTTGAATCTAAGCACTCATTGCTTCAACACAAGGGGCTGGATGACACGATAGCTTGTCATACTTCAGTCCCACTGGAATTAATAGCACTAAAGAGTCACATCTGATTTAAATCCCATTCTCTTCTATGGAAGTGAAATCTGACTAACACACCTTCGCTCCATGGCTTCATACTAGAAAGCATTTTCAGATCTGAAAAGTGGTTTCCAACCTTCTCTGATATCATCATAACTACTCCCTGAATCACTCTACAGTAATCCTATTACAGTGGTGCCCCGCAAGACGGGCGCTCCGCTTGACGACAAAATTGCATCACGACGAACTTTTTGCGATCGCAAAAGCGATCACAAAACGATGTTCCCTATGGGGGAATTTGGCTTTGCGATGATCGGTTCTCTGCTTTGGGAACTGATCATCGCAAAGCAATGATTTTTTAACAGCTGATCAGCGGTTTCAAAATGGCCACCGGGTAAACAAAATGGCTGCCCGCTGTGTTTTCGCACTGATTCCTCGCTGCACAGGCAGCGAAAATGGCCATGCTATGGAGGATCTTCGCTGGACAGTGAGTTTGAGGCCTCTAAGAATGCATTAATCTGGTTTTAATGCGTTTCTATGGGCTTTTTAAAATCGCATCACAATGTTTTCGTTCTACAGCGATTTTGCCGGAACAAATTAACGTCGTGATGTGAGGCACCACTGTACACAGATGGGAATATAAAATAAAGAGTGGGAAACTTCCCTAAGACTGTTATTTCAGTCTATAATAGAAGAACCTCACAAGGTTGACAAAACTCTTATGCGGATATTTCCTACAGGGAAGCAGCATGCAGCTCCAGGTACAGCATGACAGAATATGCCAAAGAATATAGAATCGGAAGACCAGCTCCATCTAGGTCAGGCAATATAAGGCATGTTATATGTCCAAGAACAATGGAGACAGCCATCCTCTATGACTTATTACCCAAAACTGGGATTTATAACTCATTATTATCTCTTAACTTGGAAGGTCCATGTGGCTGTGATGGTTAAAAAAGTCACTGATAGATCTTGAAATTTTAGACAAAAGCCATATTCGAAATAGTCATCACTACATTTAAATAACTCCAATAGTTAATTACGCACTTTGATAATGTTTCCTTTCACCTGTCTTTAACGCACTACCATATAGAGCCCCAATTCCAGCACTAAGCAAGGCAAAAGTGCTTCTCCAGCTGCTCTGCTCACTGTATTTATACCCCCTTCTAGATGTCTTCAATGAACTAAATCCCCAACTACTGTATTTTGAATTACTTATCTAAACAAAAATCTCCAATACTCAGATTATTTAAAGAATTTCCAGTGGGACTAAATGCAGCAAAAATAACAGTCTTGAACCTTAGAAGAAAAACACATTGATTACAGCATACTGTCTAAGGTTTCAAATGCAGTTCACCTGTAACTCAGGACTCCTTCAACCATCTGATAACATATCATAAAGTGAACTGAGGCCCACAAGAAACTTACACCTTCACACATTAGTTTTAAAGGTGCCACGAGACACCTTTGTTGCCTGTGATCATTTTATGCTGCAACCCTAAAAACACTTACTAAGGAGGCACGCCCAAAGAAAATCCTGGGGATGACATTTGGGTAGAGGCACCAGTTTGCCTGCAGGGTGCTTTGGGGATGATAAAATCTCATACAGCAATAGAACAGAAAGTGGCAACAGTGTGTTATATAAAAAGGCAATGCCATACTTGTCCCTTTACTTTCCTAATGGTTCCCAATGTTCAACTTGCTTTTTTGTTCTTTTTTCTTTTTTAGGACTACTGCAGCTGGCAAATATAGTTAATCTTCTACCAGCCAAAGATAATGGTCCCAGTAGGTTGTCAAAACCACCTCTGCAGCGGCTGGGGAACCACTACTTGTTGTCCCCAGGGCCAGTATTCAGGAGAGTGTCTCCCCTGTTGCATCGCACGCCTCCACCTTTCACTCTTTCGTGCACGCAGCAGAATACACGGATGCAGAGGTCGCAGCTGAGGGCAGGGGGGGGGGGTGCACATTTCGGTCAAGGGGCTTTCTCTAGGAGAACGTGGCCACGCTCCAGCCAGCCCCGACCGAGATGAATCCACCGCCCAGCTCGTCCACTTGGCCCCCTCCCGGGATCACAACCCCAATGAACCCCCCTCTCGTCGCGCCCTCCGTTAGCAAGCGGAGCCGGAAGAGCGAGATACTTACTCCGTAACAAGTGCCCCGAGGTGGTGCTCAGCTTGTCAAGCGAGCAAGCCCGGCTCGGGGCTGGGGAGCAGCCGCCGCCGCCCTGCGCTCCCATCCGGCACCAGGGCCAAAGGCAAGCAGGCAGGCGCCCCGGCAGGACCAGGCACCCTTCCAGACTCCCGAGACTCGCCGTGTTATATATCCCCCTGCGGAGCCACCGGGAAAGGAAGGCCGGGCTTCTGTTCTTCTGCCTGGGCCAGAGTTGCTCAGCAACCCGCCGCCGCGTCCCTCCCGTGCATGGCCCGCCTAGCCCGCCTCGGGCGCCGCCCCGGCAGCACCACCGGGCCCTGCGGGCACAGCGAGAGCCCGGAACGGGAGTCTCCCCTCAGGAGGCAACCCGCCTCAGCAGCGCCTGCAGCCGCATCGCCCTTCAGTCTCTCTCTCTCTCTCTTTCTCCCTCGCTCCTCTGCTCGGAACAGCAGCGGGACCGCCTCGTCGCCCTTTCTCTCTTCAGCTCGCGCTGCCAGGGCCAGGCCCTGCCGAAGCATCCGCAGCAGCCTCTCCCTCCATTGCTCCGCTGCGTGCAAGGCGGATCCGCCGCGGCTGACAAGCTGCGCTGCCTGCCCCGGGCGAGCTGGGCCCAGCCGGCAGACAAGACAGACAAGGCTCGCAGGGAGCGAAGGAGGCGGGAAAGGAAGAGGCGAAGCGGGGGTCCGCCGCGCGCGGGTGCGGGCGCGTTCGCACACACGCGCGGGCGCGCGCGCAGCCGGAGGAGGAGGAGGAGGAGGAGGAGGAGGGACGCCTCCCGCGCGAATTGCTGGTTTGAGCCCCGAAGGGGGAGACCGAGGGAGAAGAACCGACGGATGCCACGTTCAAGGCCAAACCCAGATAGGAAACCTCAGAAGAAGCTGGTACACCGGGAGGCACCCGGCGTGCCCTATATTTGTTTTTTGTTTTTTACTTTCATCACCCAGGCAGAGAGGGGCGCTGGGCTTTCTGCTGACATATCACCCCCACCCCCCAAATAATTCCACCACAAACAAGACTTCGCGTAACGCTTTAAAAGGCTAAGGTTTATTTATTGTACACGCTTTGGTTTGTCGACTGGAAAGTGAGGCTTGGTCAGCATGAGCTTCTGCTGCAAGAACTGTGCTCATTCGTGCACAGGTCTGGTAGCGCTTAAGCTCCGCTGGGTTCAGTGTAGCACTTCCTTCCATGTAGGTATGCATAGAACTGCAGCCTAAATCTGTTTATCTTTGACGAAGTGCTACATCCTACAGAGCCTTGCGCCATAGACCACTAGGCCACAGTGGCCTTGGCCTTCATCTGAGGTATCCTGTGACTTCTGCCATTTGGAGCTTTTCTGAGATGGGATGAGGTCCGTTTCTGCCACCTGCCCACTGCCCCCCCCCCGGTGTAGGTATCCTTTCAGTCTCAAGAGACTATGGTAATGTGCTCTGTATGGAGGTCTTGGAATAGCATTTAGTGTGGCTGAGAAGGCCAATTCGAGAGTGACAATCCCTTCCACACTGAAGACAAATACAATCTGTCCCCTGTCCAGCTCCCTGGTTTTGCTGGTTTCGGGACTGCCTCTTTGCCTCGGCCTGCTGGACAAGGGTCTCTTCAAATTGGGAGAGGCCATGCTGCACCACCTATCTCCAGGCTGAACACTCAGACGTCAAGTTTCCCATCTGTTGAGGTCCATTCCTAAGGCCTTCAGATCCTGCTTGCAGATATCCTTGTATCACAACTGTGGTCTCCCTCTGGGGCAATTTCCCTACACTAATTCTCCATACAGGAGATCTTTTGAAATCTGACCATCAGTCATTCTCATGACTTGCCCAAGCCAACGCAGATGGCGCTGTTTCAGTAATGTGTACATGCTAAAAATTCCAGCTCGTTCTAGGACTACTCTGTTTGGAACTGTGTCCTGCCAGGTGATACCAAAAATGCGTCGGAGACAATGCATATGGA